AATGATCGCTTTTACAAAATTTCCAGCGAAGCCATTGGCACGATTGAAGAGCTGGTCAAGGCTATTACGCCTCCTCGTTCCAAGATGACGGCGCAGAAGTTCAAGGGCGAGCTGCAAAAGCTTTTCGACACGATCATGGATCGCATCACCGCAACTGATGCCGATGCCGAGGTCAAGCAACGGGGTATTCACGCTTTGGGCGTCCTGTTGTCGAGAACGTCTGGCGCGGATGGTGCTGGCTTGATTGCTGCTGACAAGCGTCAAGCCGCCCTCGCCGCTCTGCTCGATCGTCTCAAAAACGAAACCACTCGACTTGCCGCCGTTAGAGCCGTCGATAACGTCGCCGCCTTTAGCACCAGCAGCGGGCAACTCGAGACGGCTTGGATTCGTGAGGTGGCTCTGGAGCTCGCCGGCCAACTGCGTAAGGCGAACCGATCTTTGCGCGGTTCTAGCATCCAGGCTCTGAAGCACTTGATCGTGTCTCCCACGTCCAAGGGTCAACTTGATGCAAACACCATCCAGGGCCTGGTCTCGGCTTTGGTTCCTGTAATCAGCAATCACGACACCCACCTACTGGCCCCCGCACTGCTTATTCTCGCAACTCTGGTCGAGGAGAACGCAGGCCTTGTTGTGAACCAATCCATGGTCGCGACTATCTGCACTCTTCTCAAGTCGAGTTACGCAAGCATCGTTCTGGATCAAATCTTGATTCTCGTCACCAAGGTTGGTGAGAGTGGCTCTGGCCAAGGTCTCATGCAGGGTATTCTCAAAGAAGTTAGTATCGAAGGAGACCCGGTCGTTGTTGGCAAGGTCATTGGTGCTCTTCTCGTAGCCAGCGGAAGCTCGGCTGGTGTCACGATTGATAGCTTCATCTCCGAGCTTCAGAGCAGCACGCAGAAGAGGGATGACGCTAGAATCAGTCTTGCCTTGGCAGTGCTTGGTGAAGCCGGTCTGCGACTAGGACCCAACTCTCCTCTCAAGGCGGATCTGTTCCTGAAGCAGTTCCATGAAGAGCCCGACAAGGTCTCTATCTCCGCCGCGGTAGCTCTTGGCCGTGCTGGTTCGGGCAATGTGTCCCAGTACCTCCCGGTCATCTTGGACACCATGCAGAAGGGTGGCAACACGCAGTACTTGCTGATTCAATCGATCAAGGAGATCTTGCAGCAAGTCACCGTTCTGTCCGCCGAGGTTTCCAAGTTCGCCGCGCCAATTTGGCAGCATCTGCTTTCGGCGTCTACTATCCCCGACAACCGCGTCGTCTGCGCGGAGTGTGTTGGTCGCTTGACCATTATTGATACCCAGACATTCATGCCCCAGCTCCAGGTAAGTGCTCAAGGTCACCTCTTGAAGCATTCTGCTAACAGCTTGTAGTCCCTCCTCAGAGATCAGAACCCCGACATCCGTGGCATGGCCGTGCAGGCTGTTCGATATACGCTGCCTGACAGTGACGACGCTTTCGATGCTATGCTCAAGAACGTCCTCGTTGACATGCTCCTCGTCATGCTTCAAGATACGGAGATGGACAACCGTCGCTTGGCCATGTCGACGTTGAACTCGGCAGCCCACAACAAGCCCGATCTCATTCTGCCCCACTTGGGCGAGCTGATGCCGTATGTGTTGTCCGAGTCGGTCATTAAGCCGCACTTGATTCGTGAGGTGATGATGGGTCCCTTCAAACATATGGTGGATGATGGCCTGGAAGTCCGCAAGGTAAGTATTTCGTGCTTCTCATGGGATTACGCTAACTCGCTTTGCAGAGTGCCTACGAGACGTTGTACGCCCTCATGGAGACGGCATTCTCACGGATCAACAACATTGACTTCTACGACCGTGTTGTCGCTGGTCTTAAGGACGACAATGACATTCGCAGTCTGTGCAACCTGATGGTTTCCAAGCTCATCGTGCTTGACCCTGATGAGACGGCTCGTCGCCTCGATACGATCGCCGAGGCATACCGAGCGATCCTGTCGACCAAGTTGAAGGATGGTGCTGTCAAGCAGGACGTGGAGAAGCAAGAGGAGGCCAACAAGAGCGTCCTGCGTGTGACCCTCCTGCTCGGAGACAGGCACAAGAACAAGGCGGGCTCAGGTAATGCTGTGGCCAACGCCAACGCTGGAGGCGGAAGCCAGGTGTGGAATGCTTACTGGGAGTGGGTGAACAAGGAGTTCCAAGCGTCGCTTAGAAGTCTGCGCGAGGAAAGCAAGGAAGCCCGCGTATTGTAAGCAGGGGATCTTTTGGCCGGGCTGAATACCTTCTGGCGTTAGTGAACATGGAGTAGCAGGAACTAGAACAAAGCATTACTCTATGATCGGGACTCGAGTTATCTGGGAACTATTCGTGCTGCTTCGTGAGAAATCCATGAGCGACTGAAAAGATATCCGCGCTAACCCATCCGTAACGTAAGGCTGCATCGCTGTCCGTAAGTCAGTCACTACATAATAACCGAGACAAATCGGCGAGATGCTGTGTAGCGTAACAAGCTGTGATCCGCGACATTCCGATTAGCCCCACGCAGGGCACCGTCATATTACACAAGTAAGGCTGATCGGGACAGATTTACTGTCTTCAATGATGGCGTGGGTACGCGATTCCTGTTGGGTGATGGTGTAAGCCACGCGCTTGGCGGAAAGTCATGCTTGAGCGTTATGCTGGGGCCGGCTTACGTCCATCTTCACGGGCAAGGGTTATGGTGCTCACAGGATGGAAAACTTATAAGATGAGCTACATGTTTCTAGACAAATGGTTTGGATTTAGAATAATAAGATATTTCAACTCGGTATTTTCTTTACCTTAATTGAGTGCAGCTCCTTACACAACAAATCTGAACTACTGAACGAACGACACCAAGGCAATCATCATTATTACACAACTTCAACTTACACCATCACCATCCTTCACAACACCACAACAACCAACAAAAAATCAGCCATGGCAACCTCCCGCGCCTGGACTTTCACAGCCCGTGGCGCCCCCCGCTCCGTCCTCTCCCTCACACCGCGCCCGGTTCCCACGCTTCCGCCCGCAGCCGCCGTCGTCTCAAAGTCCAAAGACAGCAGCGAGTGGCTCTCGATCAAGGTTGCCTACGCGGCTCTCAACCCAGGCGGGCACTTTTACGTGAGCATGATCCCCGCGGCCGCGAGGGCGAAGACCGCCGTGCCGGAGATGGACCTGAGCGGCGTCGTGGCTGATGTCTGGACCCCTTCTGCTTCTTCGTCTGCGACTGGAGCGAGATTTCGCAAGGGAGACCGCGTCGCTGCGTTCATCCCCGTCTCGTTCGGCTGGGCCACGGGGACGGGCGCGCTGGCGGAGCACGTCGTCCTGCCCGCCAAGTACGCCGTCGCGGTGCCGCGGGGGGTGGGGCTGAAGGGCGCCGGGAGCGTGTTGACGGCGGGGTGCACCGCGCTCACCACGGTCCGGGCCGCGGGGCTGAAGAAGGGGGGCAGAGTGCTGGTCAACGGGGCCAGCGGCGGGGTTGGGAGTTTGGCGGTGCAGATGGCGAGAGACGCCGTCGGGCCGGAGGGTGTTGTGGTTGCAGTGTGTTCGGGGAGGAATGCCGAGATGGTCAGGGGGTTGGGGGCGGACGAGGTTGTGGACTACACCGCTACCGGCAGGGTTTCTGATGTGTTGAGGGAGAGGTTCGGCGTGGAGAAGAGATTTGACGGGGTTGTGGATTGTATCGGGGTGCAGGATGTGTACGCTTCCTGCGCGGCGTATGTGGTGCCCGGGGGCGTGTATGCGGCGGTTGGGATCAAGCCGGCGGCGCAGACGTGGGGGAGCTTTTTCAAGGCTGTGTGGACGATGCAGATGAATGCTGTGTGGCCTTTGGCGGAGTGGCTTGGGGGCGTGGGGAGGGTTTGGAAGGGGACGACGATGATGGACCCTGGGAGGACGTTGATGGAGGATGTTGTGGGTATGTTGGCGGATGGGAGGGTGAAGGCTGTTTTTGATAGGGAGGTTGCGATGGAGAATGTTGTGGAGGGATATGATATTGTCGAGAGCGGGAGGGCTAGGGGGAAGGTTATTGTCAAGGTTGGAGAGGAGTGAGCTGTTGTCATAGATGGATGTGTTCGATGATTGTTTAGACTTATTACACATTGTTTATTTCTGATTAGTTGGTTAACTTCTTAGCTTGAATGAGAACTACTCTACCAACTTCATTACCCCTGTTCCTTGCGCGCGCTCCAACTTTGGTGATACTCCGAAGAAGCCTGTCAATGTCTACCGTATGACGAAATATCAACGACAACTGATTCAAATTCCTACCTCGTCCTCTTCAAACTGGTGAACCAACGTGTTTAAACCGTTTCAGCAGCTTCCTTCCCGCGTGGCCCCGTTTCTAACCTTACACTCCGTTGCGTTGACAGCGTCCACCCCGCAGTTTTTAGCCCGAAAAAGGCAAAAAAAGGGGCTTTTTACCGAAAAACCACCAAATCGCCCTAAACTTCGTCTACTAATACCTCTATGCGTACGCAATGCGCGTAAATAAAAAATATATCAATCGATAGCCCTCGATTAGGTAATTATAATAATATCTTTTTTATTCTCGCGCATTACGTACGCATAGAGTTATCTAAGTGTGAAGTTAAAGCTAATTTTGAGGGGTTTTTTAAGCGGACAGTTCAACGCAACGCGCCGGGGGTTTCGTTTTTTCTTTTTAGCGTTGCGTTAAGTGTCCGCTAACCTAGAAACCCCCTTAAAACCCCCTAAACTTCACACTTAGATAACTCTATGCGTACGTAATACGCGAGAATAAAAAAGATATCATTATAATCACCTAATCGAGGGCTATCGATTGATATATTTTTTATTTACGCGCATTACGTACGCATAGAGTTATTAAAACGTGAAGTTTAGGGGGTTTTAAGGGGTTTCTAAGCTAGCGGAAAATTTTCCTTCCGGGTCAAACTTGGGGGCGGACGCTGTCAACGCAACGGAGTGTATCTTCCTCTGCCAGCGTCTGTCCACGGAGGTGACGAAAGAGGTCCTGATCCGCATCGACATCAACACACCAGCCCCTGGTTATGTCTATAATCAAAAGCCACGACTACAGCCTTCGCGTACGCGAGCGCTGCGGCAAGAACCTGAAAGTAATTAGCATCTTTCCCCTCCAACTTGCACACACTCCTTTCGCATCCAAGGCTTACCATTATATGCATAATCTGATGACTGGCCCCAAACAGATCAAACGTCCTCGGGAACCACAACTCGGGAAACTGCCTTTATTAGCGACCATGCTCACTTTATCAGGTGCAGGAAACAAAATCTCACCTTGGCCCAGTATACAAAGACCGCCAACGCATTACACCCAGCCGTCGCCAGTATCCACGGGCCACCGACCCGCGCCCACTCTTCACCAGCCCCAAACACCAAAGCACCATGCCCGATCGGCAACACAAACGCCGCAGCGCCAAACGTGGCAAACAGCGCGGCGCGGTGGTGACCCAGATGCACGGCGCCCAGGTTCGGCCTCGTCGTCGCCGCGGCGCACAGAGCGGCAAGCGTGCCCGTCAGCAGGACGTAGGCATCGCGGGTGCGCGGCGAGCAGGGGAAGGTGTAGTGTGCCAGCGGTGCCGTCGAGCTCCACATCAGAGCCAGCACGCCGTGAAAGTCCGCTTTTATGCCGGCGAGGTAGTAGGGTTCACTGTGAGACATGAAGGTATGGAAGCTTGAAGGGGAGATGTGTTCGTGTTAGTGATGTGAGTTTAACTGTCAGGTGGATATGTGAGTCAGTCATTGGAAGGCTTTTACGTACGCAGTTGAGAGAACGAAACAGACTGTAACACCTGATGCGTAGATACTGCAGACGACGATATCTGAGGTGGAGGCGGTTGTCCATCTCGGGGAAATGGGATTGCCGAAGATGAGGAATGGAAGGGACATGAAGAGGATCGCCCCGATTATGTGTGAGTAGATGTTGACTGTCCGTTGGTTTAGTCTCAAAGTTGTCACTTGTCGTTGATCCCTGGGTTTTCTCACTCGTTTCATTGTGAACATATGTCCAGCTATGAAAGCACTCCCAGACTGAGAAGCATGCTGTTCTATGGTGGATGGTTAGTATCGCTCGAAGTTCCGGTCATGATACACACGCCAACTTACCGATAACCCGTCTTGATGTGTTCACTCCCACATCTCATACATCGTTAGCTGTCGCTTGAAGGAATGAAACAAACTCATCATGAACTCACTGCTGCCATTCCGCTAGAAAACTTGTCAGCAACTATACGCCCAAGTTTCGTCAAACGACAAACTCACGAAGCTCTTCCCATCTGAGCAGCGCGCTCACTTTCGTCTGCTTCTCCGGTGCCTCAGCCTGGCCGCCCCAACTCCGCAACCGCCTGCCGGCGCTCTCTCCGCCAAAAGCCTTCTGCAGCCTCCGTCTCAAGGCAGATGTCGAAAGAAGGGCCGCCATTTCAGTTTGAGAGAGAGTTCTGCCCGTCAAAGTCGCCCACGTCAACGTCCTCCAATCGTTCCTTACCCTGTCGACGAGAACGCAACGCAGCAATTGCGCAAAGTAATCGATCCGCAACTGACAGACGACCTAAAAGTCATCAACGGGATCCGAAGCGCTCAATTGTTTGCAAATATCTTGTATCCATCAAGCGTAAATGACTATCGCGTCGACAAACATACTGCGCAACCAGAAACGAAAAGCTTAGACATGAACGACGTTCGTCACATTTACTCCTCACCTCAAAACCCAACAATCCCCGTGCTGTTTCCTCCATGTCCCCCCTGCCGCCGCAGTCGCCGAACCAAATCCACCAACACGAAACCCGCCCCGGAAGCGCGCCGATCCGGTGTGTGTGTGGTCCCGCAGCATCGTCGCATCCGACCACCCGCTAAAAAATTGCGACGACGCTGATGCAGGCCCATGAATAATGCGCATGGCAGAACCAAGCGTGCTAAAGAAAAGAAACCAAACAGAAGAAGTCGGTTGGACAGAGCCTAAAATGCGCTAGTTGAGTTGGGTTGGGGCCAGCAGGTGGTCACTTGACGGGAGGGTGATGCGTTGCAGGGAGGGACCCTGAGTTTTTGGAGAGACCGTTGTTTCTGAGGTTCATGGTGATGTCGAAAAGTTGCGGTGTGTAATGCTAAGTCTCCAGGTTGTGGGAATGTGTTGTTTGCTCGATAGCGTGTGTCATCCGCCTACCGGGTTATGACTTTTGAGGTCCGCCTAATAGACCATGGAATATTGAGAAGAGCATTTGGAAAGCAGAAAACCAATTGACACATCAGCTCTTCCTTGAGGAACTGCTACTGAAGCCAATAATGCTGGAGAGCATTCATCTTCCTGGCTAGTGTTATTGCCCAAGCTGGGCCAGCATGAGCAGAACTGCTCACCACAATGAGACGAGGCAAATGAGTGATGCTTCTCTTCTCGTAAGAACGACTCAAGTCTGCATAGTAGACATGGTCTCATGGGACAGAAGGGCGTTCGTGTTTGGTGCCTGGTGCAATTGTCCTCGTCATCCCACATGGTCGTCTAATCAGTCGAGAATACCCTCAAAATACTCCCACAAATGACTGATGCGGACAGGTAGTCCCTGGCTTACTTCAGGATAATCTTCGTCTCGAACACGAGAAATGCTTGAGCTTACGGACATTTCAGAAATCCAAGAATAAAAAAAGTGAGAATAAGGATTATTGAAGCCACATTGTCTTTGCCGATGTGCGATGAAGTAAGTGAACTCGGGTCTTTTATAAGAAACTGAGCGTAGAATTTCCCACCATCCATGGAATGATGCCTCAGACGAGCAGCAGCGCGAAAATAACGAAAAAAAAAAAAAAAACCCCGCATTCGTTGATCTCTAGATTTGGTCTCCCATGTACACTCCATGAAAGGAAGGCATCGCACCTAATCAGAATATCCAAAAGCAAATGACTACTATTCCATGATGTCCTTACGAGGCCCATTCCCTTTGGGAGCACACTTCTTCAGCCATGTAAGAGCTGAAAGATCCCTCGTCGCTTCTTATACTTTGAAATGAAAGAGTACTCAAGACGTATAGAACACCAGCTTGGGACGCCTGAGGATGAGGCCAAGAGTCTGTCCTTTGCTGTTCCCTGCTGCCTCTGTGACTCAACTTAACCGGCATTGATGATCGGTACATGAAGACCTCTTCTGGCAAATACCGTTCTTCGAGAGCCTTGTAAATGTGTCATTAATGCCGAACGAGACATGCGGAAGCGCTGAGTATCTTGCTGACCGAGACAGATTGGTCTTGGTTGTTGTGACGATGTAGCCAAACCCCCTTCCTTCTTCCCCCAACCCCTTGTACAAAAGCACCTTTTAGGATACGATACTAGGCAATGAGACACCGCAAGAGATCAGTTGATCTGTGTCCTGGAATTACAACTCAGAGACGGCTGACAAGACTTACAGGCAAGAAGTAATTGCAGTCTACAGCATGCCATCTTTAGAGAGCATAGAATGCGGTCTTCGCGAGACTTGTCCTTACCCGCTGCCCGCTCTTCTATAGTATTCCATGCAGTAACATATTTAAAGAGCTGAGAGAACGCCCCTTGATAACAACAGTAGCTATGGGCTCTTCTCAGACACAAACAACGCCTCAAAGGTCAAAATGCTGTGTTTGCAGAAGCATATCCAAAAGTCAAGCTGGATTTTCTGTGCTCCTAAAGAAAGGCACCCAGCACGCATGGTATCCCAAGCCCTATTTAGAATTAGACAATACAAGACCCGTAGCCAAGCCAAGGTCTCCTTCATCTTGTAATAAGAACAGCAACAATACCAACGTAGTTTTACGTATATCGGTCTATGTAGGTGTCATGCCAGTCTCAACAGACCCAAGCAATCCTTTCAGCCTGTCGCTAGTGGCTAAGCTTCAAAAAAGAATCTTAGAGTCAAGATCAAGTGTCCCCTTACAAGGCTGGCCAGAAGAAGTTCATGCGAACAAATCTTCATCCCTCTCAGTCGCCTACATCCACCACATATACTCAATGAATACACAGCGAACAGCTTCTCGCTGATTGAGTTATGCACTACTACAAAAGCAATTGAAAGGGGAACTACTTGACAGCAAGAAAACCACTACAATTCACAAGGCCCAAAGACAGTCACGCCCAGTAAGATTTCGTTGTCCAGAGGCCCGAACCTCTGCTGCAAACTCAGGCTGCCATCACATTACTCACAGTTCACATCATATGACTCACAATTCACACGGACACCCTCCGTGCAACTCTCTATTGTCTTACGCTGCCATCCAGAAAGTATTACCCTAGAGCATTTGCAGTAATCGCGCGATATGCCCATCACACCCCAAGCCAGCGCTTACACGTCATAATCGTCATGTAGCAAGCTATCAGAAGCACGTAGAATGCAGTGTCAATCACCTATCTGGGTTAATGCCAAGACATCGTCACTACTCCAGTGATAATCTAGTCCGCCACGAGACCACAATACCAGGCAATACTTCCGAACCAAAGGCGGATATCGATCACGTCCCGGCCAGACTCGCCTGGTCTTTGATGTCTAGTTTCAGAGGCATCCTTCTCTGTGTAACCTAGGCGCTGAGCATTTCAAATACCAGGGTACGGCCCCCTTTTCTGTGCCCCCTAAAACCCATTTGCGGGAGACAACAGACAATGATAGGTGACCAAAAGCGGCCAGCCCCTTGGACATAAGCAACGGGAATACCAGGGCTTGCCCACGGCAACGAAAACATCCAAACAAGGGGAACGCCGCGCCGTTGAGATTCCATGGCAGTGGTACACTTCTGCTTCCGGTAGGGCCCTGAAAGACGTTCAGAATCTTGATATCGACGCCTCCGTTCGGCTTGGCAAGCCTCTCGTGTAAGAGGCTCAGGCTTGACTGCGATACGCAACTTGTAACGGTTGCAGATCAGATATGTCAAGCCACCAACAGCCAGAGACCGCTGGCCAACAGTCTAGAAGACGACCTCGTGGACCAACTTTTGACTTCTGAACGCAGGCGTTTGCCAGATATGGAAGAGCTCGCCCCTAGGCGCATGGCCAACGGCATTACCGGAGCAGTGACGACGCTCCCAGACTTCTGGAACAGCACCATAAGCCATTGTAACGCTCGACTTCGACGTCCAGCCCTGTAAGGTGGTCAGCAGCGTGAGCGGGAAAACCTCACCCGCTGACACAAAGCAGGGGTCGGCCGCCGCGAAGGGATCTCAGCCCGGATGCGTGATGAGACAAAGAAATACTCTTATCAGATCCTTATATCATCTCGAGCAACGCTGACCGGCTCTGACCATCAACAACTCGGAAGATGCCCCGGGTCTAGCAACGCCCTGAAGACATTTCCCCGATCTCAAGGCGGCCGCCGACCGCCTCTTCATCTGAGAATCGGCTCGACGGGACCCAGGCCGGGCTCAGACCGTGTATTGTGGATTCGAGCGCTGCCGAAGTCGCCCGCCTGACTCGCCATCGGGCCGGGCCAGTTGGCGAGCGACTCAAGAGGCCGGAAGCAGAGAGGGGACGCCAACACCGGGTTTCTGGGATTTTGATTAATGACGAGAGAGGGTTGCTTACGTGCAGGGTTTGTTGCTCCATGCGCAGAGGTTGCCTGTGGAGCGGGGAGGTAATTAACTCGTCCAAGGAGACGAGACTGTAACCTCAAACCTCGCGATCATCCTTCGGTTGGGGTTGGAGATGTCACTGTCCACCCGCAAAAATGCCCCCAAGACCCTCTCTCGCGGGAGGATCAATTTCAGGCACGAGGCGAGGGGTGGACTTTGCGTAACGGAACCTTGCCGATCCATTCTTCCGCGGCTGAAGCTGTGTTCCGTTGAGTCGAAGGAGAAATCTTTGGCCGACATTCTAGAGCTGTCGTGGGCGACACAGACCGAATACCTGGAATGGCGTTTGGTGAAGGTTCCTCAATGATGTGCAACGCGCCCCCAGCTCCTGTCTCAGACATGTCAGCTGCTAGTGCGACCAGCTGCTGTGGAATCATCCAGGATGAAATGCCCGTTTGGGTGATTTCCGTCTTCTGAAATCTCAAGTGTAGGAAATGAACCGGTGGTATGATGGGAAAGAGGCGAGCGCCCACAGTTTGCCCATCTTCTGGTGTACTGGGCCGCGAGTCAAGACCCCCCGCCTCTCCACGATTGGAAGGAATACGATGCCCCCAATGCTACCGTGGTTTGGTCTGACGCTAAGGAAAAGAGGTTTGTGCTCAACGGCAGGGGAAAGTGACTCCTACGATGACGGCGACGAAGAACCGTTAGAACGCGTTGCAATCGCATTCGTAGATGTGTCTGAGACATTGTCGAGACTAACGAAATGGTGGACGAAGACTGCGCGCGGCTGGGCGGGTGCTGTATCCGGATGATTGAAGACGGAATCATCCCATGCTGGAAAGCAACGCATAGCTTGCGGCCAAAGAGGGTGTGCTGTCGCTGGTCGATCATCGTGACTTGC